CGTGTGTGTGCATGCAGCAGAATCGAATAAAATTAGTAAAAAGATAAGAACGAAGCTGAAAACCTGTCCAAGCGTCCGCCCCCCCCTTCCACCCGCTTCGCCCAAAGGTGTGCCATAGAAGCAGGTGTTAATCTCCAAAGTCACAGGATATCCATTTGATATAAACACAACAAATCAACACCTGTATCCTTAGCTTTCCATTAACACAGGATGTTGCTTGTTACTGTAGCAATACCCCCACCCCCTCCTCCTCCCTTCTCCCTTTCCCTTTCTCCTCCCTCCTCTTTCGCTCCCTCTCTCCCTCTTTTCTCCATCTCTCCCTACTTTTTTCATCTCTCTCTATCTCATTCTCCTTTCCCTCTTTCCTATTCTCCTTTATTTTACCCCTCTATTCTCTTCTTTTTTACCCCTCTATTCTCTTCTTTTCCTACCTCCCTCCTTCGCATTCTCCTGTTTCCCCTTCTCTCCTCCCTTCACCCCCTCTTCACTTCCTCCCACCTTCTTTTCTCCCTCTTCCCCTTTTTCTTCCTCTCCTCCTTCTCCCTCTCCTCTCCCCCTCTATTCCCCCTCCTCCTCCTTCTTATCCCTTCCTCTCCTCCCCTATTCTCCCTCTCCTCCTCACCTCCCTCCTTCGCCCTTTCCCTTCCCCCTATCCCCCTCTCCCTCTCCCCTCCCTATCCCTTTCCCTGTCCCTTTCTCCTCCTCCCTTTCCTCCCTTCCCTCTTCATCCCCTTTCACCTTTTCCCTCTCATCCCTTCCTCTTCTCCCCCTCCCCCTTTCTTCTCCTCCTTATCCCCTTCCCCTCCTTTTTAGTCCTCTCCCCCTCCCTCCCCTCTCCCCCTCCCTTCCCCCCTCTCCCTCCCTCCCTCCCTCGCCTCCTCTCCCACTTCCCTCTCCCCTCGCCCTCTCCTCCTCCCTCTTCCCCCCTCCTGCTCCCCCTCTCCCGTCTCCTCCTCCTCTTCACCCCTCCCCCCCCTCTCCCCCTTCTTCCCGTCCGCTATATTTTCCGATAAGATCCCCCCAGGTGCGTAATATTCTAAAACAATTTCTTATCTTGACACAAAAATACCATGACATTAAGATTTTTTTGTTTACTGTTATATTCACTTTTTTATTTTATTTTATGTTATCATCATCCATTTTTTTTTATCTTGACTCAAAAATACTATGATAATAAGTGATTTTTTTTATTATCAGTTTTTCGTTTTTGTTATAATATTTGTTTTGTTTTTGTATTGCTTTAATTGTTTCTTTGTGGTTGTATTTGTATTTTCTCGTTTTGATGTGATAAAGAAATTTTATTTGTTAGATTTTTAAAAAATGATTATATATACAATAAATCATAAATCATAAGTTTGAAGTTATGGAAATATATTTTTGAATGACAGACACACGCACATTGACACGCACGCAAAGATGCATATAAAAGAAACTTAAAAGACACATGTAACCACACAGACTTACGGATATAAGTATACGCACACAAATGCACAAACACACACACGCACGCACGCACACGCGCACGCACGCTTGCCTAAACCCACCTTACCCTTGCTTATCCCTATCTTCTTCATTCCTAACAAACAAACAAAAAAAGCAAAAACAAAAACAAAAACCAAACTACATTAAACACAAAATCTAAACAAAAGCCCCACGAAAAATTCTGAAGAAATCCAGACAAACAAACAAAAATCTAAGAAAAAAAGCAAACAAAAAATCCTAAGGAAATCCAGACAAACAAAAATCTAAGCAAAAACAAACAAAAAAATCCAAACAAACAAACAAAAATCTAAACCATAAAAATCCTGAGGAAACCCAGACAAACATTTTTTTTTTAATCCAAACAAATGCCAAACAAAAAGCAAATAAAAAATCTTGAGGAAACCCAGACAAACAAACAAAATCTAAAAATCCAAACAGAATCCACCTCAGCCTCCTTCAGCAGATTCAAAACAAATAAAATCCAAACAGAACAAATACACAATTAATTCAAAATAAACAAAAGCCAAAAAAAATAAATCAATAACAAATTTCAAGCAAAAGCCAAAGAAACAAAAACAAATTCCCAACAAACAAAATTCTAACAAGCAAAATTCAAACAAACAAAAACTATTTCCCAACAAACAAAAACAAATTCCCAACAAACAAGATTCAAACAAACCCAAGATAAAAACAAACAAACAAAAAAGCTAACAAAATTCAAACGAACAAACAAATCCAAAACAAGCAAATTACAAACGAGCAAACAGCCTCTTCAATCTCCTTCAACAGATTTAAAACAAAAACAAAAACATGAAGCATACAAATCAATACAGAGACGCCGCTACGCCCTTGGTGGTGAGGCTGTGTGGCTTTGGGCTAGAGAAGTATTGGTGTTCCTTTTTTTTTTTTTTTTTGGCTAGAGAAGTATTGTTTTTTTTTGTTTTGTTTTTTTTTTGTTTAGAGAAGTATTGGTGTTTTTTTTTTTTTGGCTATTGTTTTTTTTTTTTTTTGAGGGGTGGGGTGTGGGGTGTTGTGGGGGGTGGTTATGGGGGTGGGGTGGGGAGGTGTGCGGGGGTTTAGGGTGTTGAGTGTAGGGTTTAGAGAGGGTTGTGTATGTTTGGGAAGAGGAGGGGGGATGTTGTGTGTTTTGGAAGGAGATAGGGAAGTTGTTGTGTTTGTGTTTGTGTATGTGTGTGAACAAAGCAACGAAAGGGAGAACAGGAAAACATACGATAATGCTGAAGGCCTTTTTTTGCTATCTTGCTTCCTGATGCGAGAGATACCAAGAGATAAACGATAAATCTTAGATAATTCGTGTATTCCCGGTACGCTATCCTTGCTGCCAAATTATTCTTATAATGCTGCTTCTGCCATTATCCTTTGCCATAGATGAAGCTTCTTTTGAAAGCTTGGCACCACTTAGGCAGGTGAAGGCCACATCACTGTAACAAATAATAATGATCATAAAAAATCTATCCTCGCCACGGTGCCGAAGGAGGTATTAAGGTGCTCGTCGCTTCATTGTTCTTGGCGTCCAAATCTCGTCATCCCCATCCCTAGTTACGTGTCAAACTTAAGCTCAAAGACGGGCTTAAGTTACTCCAGAACAAGACTGGCAGGATTACTCTGGGCGTCCCGAGGTAGACGAAGCTTCTCGGTCTCATGCAGGGAAAGTAATCTTGTCCCTCTAGACTCACGAATTGATTTGTTGAGAGGTGGCATAGCTCAATAGTAGAGCTCTGGCTATGCAATCGCAAGGTTCTGGGTTCGCGCCCGGCCGCCCCTCTTAACCAGTGAGTACTGGTATGCTGTTGTCAGCATGTTGGGGTCAAAGTCGGGGCGGTAAGGAATTGGTTACCCTAACGCATCACCCCGTGTCTTAGTAAACGTGTTTCTCTACGAACATGTCCCCTATGTCCATGTGGATATGGGACCAACTCTGACTTTGAAAGTTATTTGCTAAGGTTATCCGTGGGCCCCTGGACATGGGTCTCAGGCAAAAAGCACTGAGACGTCTTAAACTAGATAAAAGCCTTTGCTAATAACCGTTGGCTATCAAAATACCACGATGCCCAAATGATGCCTAAAGAACAGTTGCTAGCTAAGACATGGGTTTTACCCACCCTTGCTTTGTCACACTTTCGCTGTAAGCACAATCCTTGATCAAGTTTTAGTCATGAGCTTGAAGGTGAAAAAGAGTCATTATTCCCTGCTTCGACTGAGAGCAGAGGTAGAAGGGATCAGTGCAACGATCCCTCCTCTGGATAGTATGGATCAGCATAGGCACTGGATTTGTTGCGTGGGGCATCCATGCAGGTATCATCGCTCTAGGCAGAAGCTGCCACTATCATGGGAGTCCCGGCCTATGCATGCCAGAGAATAGGACATGTAAAGCATACAGATTCTAAGGCAACCATTAATACCCTGTGCCATGACATGCCCAGTGAGGATATCTATCCTGACCATTGTGCTCACCACTACCCAGAAGATTCTGATCAATGGAGATGCATCCTTATTGTGTTCCCAGCCACATCGCCATTGGTAGAAAGGCACCTGCTAACAAACTTGATACAATTGGCAAGGACAACCCCTGAACTAACTGATCAGTCAACCTTGAGATGTGGAGCAGCAGAAAAAAATTGAGAAACTTCCAGTTCAGTCAGATGGTACCCAAATGACACTGGTCATGAGTAACTGGCACTCTTTGTATCATCATTTAGAGGTGTCGAAGTTATTTTTTCACAAAAATAATATTGTGAATTGCAGATCATAGACACCACTGAATGTGCTGATCACTGTGGTATGCTGGATGCTATCATGTTGTACTATTTGCAGGTCCCTTAGAGACCACCCGTCCCTGGCTCCTTGTTCGTGATATTATGTCACTATTACCCAGTGGAGGCTGGAGTATCTATAGGCAATCCGGCCACAACTTTAAGCATTCAGTAATGATGCTTAGATGAAACAGCTTTACATAAGTCAAACATGCAAGGCCTCATATATACAAGGTCTAGCCGAACCCTCCCTTTGCAGGTCTTACTCTCTCTTGTGTATACCTTGTTGCAGCCACTAGAAGGTATGTTGTATGCCTGGCAGAGAGGTCAGTCTGGCATCTCAGGTGGAGAAGATGGAAAAGAGATGTCGGGTTTCCTTCTTCAGGAATTCTGGCATGCCTGTGGAAGAAACCAATGACCATGCCTTCTTTAGTTCTACTGTTGTGAACAAGGAAGAAATTAATGAAATTGTCTGCATTGATAGGTTTCTTGTATAAAGGGAAATGGGCCTAGGTTTGGAAGCTAGCTATTTCGTTTCACTTCCTTCGTGAAATGGATGATAGGATGCAGTCGTTGACAGATATCCTGCCGATTAATCTTAGTAGGTACCAAGTTCAGTTCGGCATGAATTCTTCACATGTATGTGTTTGTGTGTGTTTATTTACTTGTCTGTGTGTTTGTGTCCGTACATGTGTTCGCTCTACCGGAGAGTTTAGTCCTTCACCATGCTGCCTCCTTCCGCAGCCCCTTCGACCGCAACCCGATGTTTAGAGCGTCCAGCTCGTACAACTCGCGCAAGGGCGGCCCAAGAACCCTCAGCCGCTCCACTGACCGGAGCTTCAGCCGCTTCGGAGGCGGCCCGGAGGCCTTCCTGGAGGCAGCGACCACGGAGCGAATCGAACCCGAGGAGGACGTGATGGGCTTCAAGTTCAGTGGCAGCGCGGGTTTCGGGGCATCGAGGCCGAGCGGAGGCGGGCGCAAGGGCGGGCCCAGCAAGGGTGGTTCCAAGGGCGGTAATCCCTTCGCGGCCTTCGAGCGCGAGTCGGCGCCAGGATTCCCTTCCATCAGAAACATCGGCGGTGGACCCGGCTTCAGTGGAGCGAGCGGACCCGGCTTCAGTGGGGCGAGCGGACCCGGCTTCAGTGGGGCGACCGGACCCGGCTTCAATGGGGCGACCGGACCCGGCTTCAGTGGGGCGACCGGACCCGGCTTCAGTGGGGCGACCGGACCCGGCTTCAGCGGCTCCTCCGGCTCGGCTACCTTCGGGGGCTCGCTCGGGGCGCCCTTTAACGGGCCCGTAGCGCCGGCCTACAGCAGCCCTCCCGGCACCTTTACCGGATCCTTGACCCAGGGCGGAGCTAAGTTCGGAGCCTCGTTCAACCCGGGCTTCAGCGGCTCCACCAGCTTCTTCGGCGGCTCGCCTGGCGCCGCCCAGCCAGGCAGGCCCGGCTTCGGCGGCAACGCCGGCGGCTCATTCCCCGCCCCCAAGACGCCCTTCTCGGCGGCCTTCCCGGGCGTCTCGGGCAACATCAACTTCGACCCGAACGGCGGGAACATCCAGTTCCCGCCGCCGTCGGGCCAGTTCCCGCCGTCGTCGATCTTCCCGTCCATAACGGAGGAGGAGAGCGGGCCCCTCGTGTTCCCGCAGGGCCCCGGCGAGGGCGGCGCCGGCCTCAACCTGCCCTTCACCATCGACGACGAGCTCGCGGCGCTCCTCTTCGGCATGCAGGAGGCGACCACGTCCAAGTAAGTGCGGCGCTTTGCTTGGTGCGGCGCGGGTCTGCTTCTGCCGGATGCTCCCGCGCGTCGGCTGCTCTTACCCTCATGTCTCCATAGATTTCTATACGTCTGCCTATATATATACATATATATATACTATCTCTCTATATATATATATTATATATTATCTCTCTATATTATAATTATATAATCAATCTCCACCTCTATCATCTATCTATATATTATATATATTATATATATCTATATATCTATATATCTTTACACACCACACACACACACACACACACATCTATATATATATATATCTATAATTATTTTTATTATACATTTTATATATATATCTATACACACACACACACACACAAACACAACATATATATATATATATATATATATATATATTATATTATATCTATATATATAATCTATATATGTCTGTATATGTATGCAGTATGTATGCTATGTATATGTTATAATGTATGTATATGTATGCATGTATGTAGTATGTATATTATATATTATATATTATATTATATATATAATATATATATATATATACTAATATATTATATATAATATATATATATGTATATATATATATATATATATTATATACAATATATATATATTATATATATATATATATATATATATATATATATATATATATAATATATATATATATATATATATATATATATATATATATATATATATATATATATATATAATGTGTACATACTTAATTCCTCCTTTCCCCCCTTACTTACTCGCACCTGTCGCCCGCAGGCCTCCCATCCGCGTGACTTCTGCCGAGGACGAGAACAAGATCTTCAGCGGCCGACAAGACGATGGAGACGGCGAGGTGGAGCCGCCCATTCTCACCAGGCCCGAGGTTAGACAAGGTGTGTAAATGGGCAATGGAGGTTATAGCTTCCTTGATTTCTTAATTATCGAGTGATGTCCTTGTCTAGGGAGGTTGTTTTGGTCATATATAGTCTTTTTTTTTGCTGTTTTTTTTTTTTTTAACTACTAGATCGAATCCTGGATAAGGGAGATTTAAGTCCGCGCTGAGTCTATTTTTACTGTTTTGTTTTTGACACTGTTTAGTTCCGTTCTGTGAGATTTGCGAAGACATGGCACCTTGACCGTATCCGTTTTTTTTTTTCCTCTAGGCTGTAACTCCAAGCCCGCACCGCCTGCCAACGGACGGACGGAGTGTGCCACGTACACCGGCTGTCGTTCAGTCTGCAACCCCGGGTACCAGTTCCCCAGCGGCGAGAGGAGGCTTTATATGACATGCGATAACGGGGAATGGAAGCTCACCGGTAGCGTGTGGGATACCCTGCCCGACTGCGAACGTAAGCTTCTGACGTTTCCAGTGTAGTGTACAATCGTTGTTTTTTTGTTTGTTTGTTTTTTTTCTTTTTCTTTTTTTGCTTCGTTTTTTTTTTTTTTTTGCTTCGTTTTTTGTTTTCGTTTTTGTTTTTTAGTTTAGTGTACAAGATTCATGGAGAACTAGGGGACTTTGGTCATATTCATATAATCTGGGCTGCTTAAAGATGAATAAATGGAATTTTAAAACAATGAAATCGCATTTTTTTAAAATCGCCTTTCCGTTATACCCTTTGATTTTTTTTATTATCATTTTTTTTTATATATATATACCCCCTCATTATACTACTTCTATTCTCAAGTCCCATTTAAATAAACACCAACGTCTTGCCTTCTCCTGCTCCACCCTCCAGCCAAGTGCAGTCCCCCGTGCGAGAACAATGGCATCTGCCTTGCCCCTGACATGTGCCAGTGCCCCGATAACTGGGAAGGAGACCAGTGCCAAATACCCAAGGCAGCGCCGCCCAAGAAGTGCTCAAACAAACCACCGACGCCGATGAACTCTAGGATTTTCTGTAGTAAAGAGTAAGTATTAAGGATGTTTTACATTTCATCTAAATGTCTAAACGTTATGCTTCATAGCCTTGGTTATATAACTCAGGTACTTATAGATGAATTACTGAAGTTTAAGGAAAATGTGAATACATCCAAAATATTTAGTTGTATCATCTGACTATATTGTTTTTTAAGGGGACCTAAAAATAGGGGGTTAAAGGGGGTGAATTTGTTTCATATCAATAAAATCCAATCGGTCTTCCCAATTTTCTTCAAAATTGGGTATTTTTTTTAACTTTAGCGTTCTACATCTTTGGTATAAAATGTGTGGAAATTCCCAGATGCCCCCTCAATAAAAACTTTTCTCCCCCCCCCTCCCACCCCCACCCAATAGTGAGTGCAGTGCCAGGTGCCACGAGGGATACCACTTTGCCGAGGGAACGAACCGCCTCTCCTTCCAGTGTGAGAATGGAGACTGGGTCATCCAGGATCCGCGCTGGACCGAGACCCCAGACTGCGAGCGTAAGTTGTCGATGGATGTGTTGCGGGTGAAAAGTGTTGTGGGTGAAGGTGGTGTGGCTGGATGTTACGTAGTTGAAAGTGCTGTGACTGAAGGTGTGGCTGGAAGTGTTGTGGATGAAAGTGCTGTGACTGAAGGTGTTGTGGCTGAAAGCGATGTGCTTGAAAGTGCTGTGACTGAAAGTGTTGTGGCTGAAAGCGATGTGCTTGAAAGTGCTGTGACTGAAAGGGTTGTGGCTGAAAGCGATGTGCTTGAAAGTGCTGTGACTGAAGGTGTTGTGGCTGAAAGTGATGTGGCCTTAAAGTGTTGAAAGTGATGTGACTGAATGTGATGTGATTGAAAGTGATGTGACTGAATGTGATGTGATTGAAAGTGCTGTGGTTGAATGTTGTGGTTGAAAGAATGTGGCTTACAGTGTAGCGGCTGAAAATGCTGAAAGTGGATTGTTTTTGATGGGATAGGAGGATAACATGGACTACTGAGTACTTATTTTCATTATCATTATATCTAGTTATAGTTCACGAGCTGAGTCGACCATCATCACAATATATATTTCCTTTATTCGATAGGCCAATAGAGCATCGAAAATACATCAGAGAACGGATAGAGAAAATCAAGAACATCTGACAGAGAGTTTTATTAAACCACATCACATCACTTCAGATCATATCACATGTCTCCTCATTCATGTCACGTCACTTTACTCCACATCCCGACACTTCATGTTAGTCACATCATTTCACATCAGTCACATCACATTTTAGCTCGTTAATCATATATCAAAATATAACGCAACACACCACACCACATTACATCACACTACACCACACAGCACCAATTCACATTACGCTACACCACGCCATACCACATCATACTACACCACACCGCACCAAACCACACCACATCGCATCCCATCCCATCACACCACACCACACCGCATCCCATCCCATCACACCACACCATACCACACTACACCACACTACACCACATCGCACACGCATAGTAACCACCCATCTCCCCCTCTCCCCCTACAGCTGCCTGTGACCCCGCGTGCGAGAACGGCGGCCGATGCATAGCGCCTGACCTGTGCGAATGCACCGTCGACTTCCGAGGCGATTTGTGCCAATACCGTAAGTACCGATTGTCACTGAGGGAGGTACTTACGCAGGAAAAAAAAGGGGTAGCTAGATGTGGGTACGAGGTATACTAGAAGTATACTCCACACCCTCAAACAACGAAGAAAGACAAATGATGGAAATTCTCTCATGTGTAAACAAACCACAACCAATGAACCACCAATTCACAACCACAACCCTTCCAGCGATTTCGAACTGCGACCCCAAGAAACTGGGCTTCAACGGAGGCTACAACTGCTCGGGCGAAGGGATGGACTTCGGCTGCGCCCTCTGGTGTTCCCCCGGCGTCGAGTTCGAGTTCCCCGCCGAGGACTTCTACAAGTGCGACTACGCCACGGGTCTCTGGTCGCCCACGCCCATCCCCAACTGCGACTACGGTGAGGACGAGGGGGTTGAGGAGGGGTAAGGGAAGGTTGTGGAGGGGGTAAGGGGGGCTGGAGGAGGGGTAAGGGGGCGGA